AGATTTCTCTCGTTACTTTCACATACGTCACTTTTTTCGAGTAATATTGACACGAAAAAGTGCAGCTTAATCAAAATTGATGGCAGTTTTTGGTAAACAAATTTAAATTTATGTCCTTTTCTTTCTTCTTTTCTTAAGTAAGTATTTGTTTTTAAGGACTGCGCAACACGGCTCGACGAAGGGTAGGCTGGGGGAGATGGCATAACAAATAATGCGTCATGAATAATAGGATCCATACATATGTAACTGCACATAATGGGCAATTAGTTAAGTTGGCAATGATAACTGACTGACCAAGAAAACAGAATCATTCATATCGCAGACACCACGGTTGCATAATATTATTTACGACAAGGATGTGTCCATGTCTTATTAAAAACAGGTCTAATTGCTTTCACACCACCTCGACGAAGAGCAAAATGTGAGATAAATGATTCAGCCTTGGATCACTTTTGAAATGCGAGTATATAGTCATCTTTTTTGAATTTGGGGAGTGTGCGGAAAGGATGGGGTAGGTGTTTCGGAGAACCACTTGCAAGAAATTACGGCAAGAAAGTGTTTTTTTGCAGCCATTTTGACCTGCAAGAAATGCAAGGTGCCATATTTCTGGCACTTTCGTGCAGTTTCTTGCACCTTGAATTTCTTGCATTTCTTGCTATCCAGTGCAAAAAATGTAGCAAACCCACAAGAAACAAAACACTGTTAATAAATCACATATAAAATCACACTCTGTGAAAAACTCCCAACAAAATGAAACCATTCAAATATGTAGCATCGTCTAAAATTATAATAAATTTGCACACTTTGACCTTTCCAATCCAATTTATCATACATAATACAGTGACAAACAACAAATAGAATTATTCTCATTGTTAATTGTCACCCAATTTAAAAGTTTGGCTTGTCTCTCACAAAAAAAAGCAGCTGCATTCGTGTCATGTACATTCAAAATTTGATCCACTTCCGCATTTAGAGAAATGCAACAACAAATCATAAATCAAATCAGGTTAAATAATTTATTATTCCACTTGACATTGCATTCATCATCGTTACGTAAATAAATCGTAGTATATAATGGACCAATTTAAAAAATACTTATCTAACTAAGCAGTAGGATTATTTCTTTCAAAGTGAAATTGAACACCACTTTGTCATACGCAAATTTTTAAGGATTTAGTACACAGATCAATATTTGACTTCTAAAGTGCTCATGTAGCGCATATGTAATGTGTACATACCTTGAAAAGCTTGACGCCTGAATGGCTAATATTTTTCGAGATGTGATGAGATCATCAATCGGAATTATATGTACGTTATTTTCCATCAGCACAATTTGCTCGATTAGCTAAGCACACCAACCAACACGAGTGGCTAGTTGCATACATGGGTGTGGTCTCAGAGGGTCTCATTACGCCTCAATTTCTATTCACCATGTCCGGTCTGAATTTGTGAATAAGTTTCCTAAGTTTTAGGGTTTAGCATTGTCTCTCAGTTTTTGCGATATTATTTCATTTCATATTTTATTTGCATAAAAATTTGAACGGATTTCCTCCAGAAACTTGGCCCTCTTTTCTACAGAAAACTTGATGTAGAGCAGGAAACCTTGTAAAATTATGCACATACCGTTCTGCAGAATAAAACCGATAGCAATTTTCTGCAGGATTATGCAAAAAAATCTGCAGAACACAATATGCATCGAGCTTTTATCCATTACTGCGTATTTGATAAAGTGATTCGGGTTCGCAAATTGGTAACCATGGAAACCCCACGTCTGCAAATTGTTAATGAACGATCCCCTAGTAAATACTTAAGATGATAACAAGAATTCCATTTATTTTTATTTTCACTTTCAAGAGCCGAGTAAACAGATACTTGTCATTCAATCAAGAAGAAAAAGAGACTTGAATTTCTCTCAAAGTTTGTTTTAGCCCAGAGTCGAAAGGTGCCCTCATCTTTCCACAGATCAAAAGAAGAAAAGAAACTCCGAACGACTGACCACCCAACCGACCAAAGGACCAAATGGACGCTCAGTAGATCCATGTGAAGTGGACGACATTTCCGATAATCAAATCAAATCTGACATTTAAGAGACGAAGACATAATTCCACTAATACATTTCGACGTGAATAGTGTGCACGACCCACATCCGCGATATGCACTCTAAATAATGTCCCGATCGATATTTTAATATTTTTGATATAAGGAAAATGAAAGTTTGAATGAATTTGAATCTTGCTAAAGATTGTATTTTTATATTTCTGATAAATATGTAGAGGAAAATTAAATTTTGAATTAATTTTAATAAATTTGAAACTTATTGAAAGATTTATTATAAAAATGTTCCCACAAAATATTCAATTAAAAAAAATCTTCTCGTTGCAATTTGGAATCAAATATGAAATTGTTCCCATATTTATTTGTATTACTAAATTTCCGCTAATAAATTATTAAGTAGCTTCAGCTACTTTATGCGAAGACTTTGTCTGTCTGTCTGTCCGTCCGTCCGTCTGTCAGCAGGATAACGTGAGAACGGATTGAGACAATCGAAATCGGTTTTCGCCATCATACATATGACCCTAGGGGGAGGATCCTATCAACTTTTGGGGCAACCGGACCACACCCCCTCGGCACCAGGGGGTGTGGTCGGGGCAAAATGAGATTTTTACAAAAAATTAATCTATAGATGAAATAGAGTGAAATTAAGTGTTCCCGAGTTGTGCCACACCCCCTCGTCGCCAGGGGGTGTGGTCGGGGCAAAATGAGATTTTTACAAAAAATTAATCTATAGATGAAATAGAGTGAAATTAAATGTTCCCGAGTTGTGGTGGGAGTGTTTGGGGTGAAGTACGTCTGAAGCTACTTCCGTATGCGCGTTTGCGACGGTTTATTTTTATTAGCATTGTTTTTCAGAATTATATTTATTTTTCATAATAATATTTATTTTGTTCGATCTTAATATTTTCTATCATGTTACGAATTTTATTAAACAGACGAATCTGTCAATATCGATGGACAGGTTTATGTACAAAAAATAAATTTGTAAATGTTTTTTTAACTATAAAAAATAATACAATTAAAAACAAATATTGTAGCTTGTCCCTGGACAAAATATTTTGGCCCTGTTTTTTTACCACGCTTTGAATTGTATTTAAAAAACGACACCAGATAAACCAAAAAAAATAGTGGCTCAAATTTTCTACTAATAAATTTTCATGAAATTATAAAAAATGCTTTAAAAATTGTACACTTCCTTGTATCTGGTCGGGGGAAACGTCACCCCTTTTTTATCAGACGACGCTTGTCAATTTATTTACCCTTCTCCTCCTCATCGTCCCACCCTGTCTGGTAAGTCCGTCCGTCAGTAAAGGTCAAGTGTAAAAAATGTATGCACCAGCACCACCACCAGACAAACACGATAAAAAGATATCTCAATTCAGAGGTGCTGCATCCGTCAAGTGCCATCAATGAAAAATGTCAAATGTACAAATTTCCATGTAAAGTTTTTCATGAAAATCCACCCGTATGAAAATTTCCACCTTTTTCTGCAGAATCAAGTACTTATTTATACAAAACTCTGTACAACTTGGCACAATTTTTCTGCCTAAAATTTCCCGTGTAAAAAAGTTCAACATATTTTTCTGTAGAATGAATTATGCCGAAATTTTCTGCCCAGTTCTGTGGACGTCTTATGGACCATTTTTTTCTCCACCTTGATCTTCATCCTTTCTGCACATCCACAATTTATTGTCTGACACTATTTCTTTTTTTAAATAATCAATCCTCTCGAATTGAAGCCATACATACATAAGTTTGAAGCGAAAATAAATAAACAGATTCCACACGCTTACATATTTACTAAAGAAATGCATCTCATGCTGCACAAACAGTCCAAGTTTTATGGTGACTTTACCCATTGAACTTCATTGATAAAATTAGTAAATATGTTCGTCCGTGAATCCAAAGTATGTGCTAACACGTACTTATCCCAGGACACAAAAAAAGTGTGGGGTCGTGCAGGCAGGGAAGCACAGATTTTGTGTACCATCAAGATCACATCTCTTGTGTCCACATCCATTTTACACGCCCTTTTTTCCGACGCGATTTATGATATGCGTGTCATTTATGTAATAAAAATGGATTTAAATCCCCAATTCGCTCTCTTTGAGGAAGAGAAACGTCACTTTGCATGGCAGAGTGTCATACATATTTAAAGTCAACGAAATATTTCATTCAAAAGTGAGTGAGTGAGACGAAAAGTGAGACGGTGTCGATGTCAAATGGCTCCCAAGATCTTAAACTTACGCAGATTTTTTTCACCACGAACGATTACTCAATTAATTTAATTAGTAGGAATGTAAAATGTGTATCGATCATCTCGTCAAAATTAAAATTTCAACCTGCGATTCCCAGGGAGTATGTAGATATGTAAATAATTGTCGAATTAAATGCATACCACGCGTCAGTCAGTCAGTCAAACAGGAGATGGACGCAAGATTTGGAAAAATGGCACCTTACTTACACAGGAAAGAGAGATAAATGATAATGACCGTGAAGGTCGACGTGATAAGATTATATGTTATCATGCGAGACCAGTTTTGCATAGAAGGGGGCCGTGCAAAATGGAAACGTTTAGGCAGAAAAATTGTCCCGAATTCGACAGAGTTTTGTCTACAGGAGTTGATTCTGCAGGAAAATGTGGAAATTTTCGATTTTCATATGGGTGGATTTTCATGAAATATTTTACATGGAAATTTTTACATTTTTTGCGAGTGGAATTTGAAGGATGCAGCACCTCAATTCAGATATCTTTTTAGCAGATCGTATTTGTCTCTTCTTTTATAGTGACGAAAATTAACATCCCTTCTGCAGCATCCCGTAAAATAGTATCCTTGACATTTTCATCAATTAGCCCAGTGAGGTATGTGCGTACGTAATCGGTTAAAAATGGGAAAATGGGACTTGAGAAATGTTGAGATTTGACATTTAAACGTCCTTCTTACCTGCCTGCGTCCTTTCGTCTCTTCAGAAACTCCAGAATTCCTGAAAAATGGAACAAAATTAAGTTTAAAAAATTTCCTTTGACTCAATTTGCATAATAATTATATATTCATTCTAATTTTGCTAATTCTCGTGGAGGCGTTTGACGTATGATTATCTCATTTTTCCCAAAAGGAAGGGAAACACCCAGCAGAGACGTACATATCTCTGTGTATCTAATTTATGAATGGATGGATTGATGGCTTGGATACAATTCACCAAAATAAAATCCATCTTCATAGCTTATTTGTAGGAGTCGTAATTTTACCTAGTTTTACACCTATTTAGTTACTTCGAGACGCAATTTGGTCACTCACTCACTGACCATTTTTGTCCGAGGAGACTTTTCCTTATTATTATTCCTCCCAGTTTGTTACCAATTATTCCTCTTTTTCACTCACTCACTCACTTGCATGATATCATGCCCAGAGGTCGGGTATGTATTTTCACTTTTTCATTTGATGATATTAGATAGTCAAACTTTGTGTGTGTGTTCCATGACTCGCATAGGGTACAGAAATTTCAAAATATTTTTACATATTGGCACACATTTCTAGGTTTTCAGAAATATTCATAAATATTTAGCCATTATTTTAAAAATACGAAAATCCTTTACATATTTTGTAAATATTTCAATGATGTGAGATGAGATTTTTGGGCCAAAAAATTAGATCGCAAGAAATCCAGAGTATTTCATAAATTAGAAAGTACAAATTTTATGAAAATACTTTTTTGTATATACATATTTCGTAAACATTTTGACGTTTCTTTTTTTGAAATATTAAATACATTGCGATTCTTTGCCGAACTACATATCCGCCCTCTGAACCATGCACAACTTTTTTTGACAGGGTCTCTCCGTCGTAATGGATAACCAGACCAGAAAAGTGAGTCGTAATCGCATCGCATCCTTTCTGCACCGCCTCTAAATCCCTGCATAATAATAACACCGTGCAAAAAGAAGAAATCCGTCTTGACATGATTATCTCATCAATGATCTACACATCATAAAAGTTGTTCTGTTTGCAAATTATTTCGTGTTTTTTCCCAAAGGAATCACAAACAGTGCCAATTATTTGGGCTGGACAGACTGACACACAGAATTAGTCGTTCTCGCTAGGATGTCATTTCATGCATACATATATTTACATATGTACATAAATGTCCACACATTTCGTGTCACGGAACGCATAAAATTGCATGAATACTACAATAATTCGCAAATTTCCGCAGTAAAAAATTTGTAATCCAAATTTAACAAGATATATTTACACTGCTTAAATCGCTGTCAAGTTCGAGAACAAAATTTTCCAAAAACTCATCTATTTTACTTTTGATGATCTGCAAATTGTACATATTAGAAAATATACAATCGAAATTTAACACGATTTACGCTACATAGGAGAAAAATTTCCCAGAAACTTATTTTATTTAATTTGCACAAAAATACAGGCTAGTTTTTTTCATTTGTCATCTTGCTTCCTGGATCAAAACGTATCACATCCTCGATGCCATGCCCACCTAAATTTAAGCCGACTCGACTTCGACCCAGTTTGCATCCACTTAATTTAAGCTGAACATCCAGCGATAACCATAAATTTCATGCGCTAATCCATATTCTCTAAAATTTGAAGCCTCATTCATGTCGTTCCACGGACGGAGGACAATTGACAATAAAGGAAAACCTAAAAAATCTGGTTGCAACTTGTGTGGCTCGGGACGACTTTTTTTAAACAAATAATGATCTCATCTCATCACTCGTTCATACCGTGGACTGGATTTTCGGTGTATTTCCTTTCAAATCAACATTCCTAAATACGAGTCGTGTAAACAAGACGGAAATTCAGGAGGGTACGCAATAATGGGAACAATTTTACTTATGTACACGAGTTCAGAAAGTTATAGAGAATTATGGGCACGATTAAGGCGACAAGACTGCCACCATTAAGTAAAATGGAGGGAGTCAATTTTCCATGAGCCAGTTAGTTCGTCGGTTTCGAATAAAACAACAATTTTTTTACCTTCTTTTCGCCCTCCAAGAATAATAACGAGAGGGAAAAGATGGAGAGATTTTGACAACTTTACTGCTTCATGGGGCACGTGCAGGAAGGATTTGGATGGATTTTGACCCCTTCTTAGGTGGCAGGATTATGTGTCATTGGTAGTTAAACACCAAATTTACCAGGGCAATGGGAAACAGTGCATTTTTACCAGTTTTTACTATCACTCGAAATACGTGGGAGATTGGAAGGTCGGAAAAAGTGCATTTTCCCCTATTTTTTACCACTACTAAAATCTGTTTGAGATGGGAGAAATGGGGAAAAGTGCATTTTTCCAACTTCGTATGCACGTTTCTAGGATATCCCTTCGCCTTTCGCATTTTGAACAAGCCTCCCTTATCAACACCCACTCACCCACATTTTCCCCATGGTAAAAACCACTATTTCCCACCTCTTCCATTCTCGACTGGGAAAACGAAACCCTGACAAAGTCACTCCATCGCACATATCGCGTTCCTTCTGCCCGACCCTCTGGAGAAGGAATGGATGAGTGATATGGGTCAATTTCCGTCAAAATAGATTCTAATTTTTTGCACGTTTTTTTACACAAAAGAAAAAAAGAGATGATTTATCTTGCGTGCAAGAATCCGAAGAATTATGGTTCGTTCATATTATTGATTGATTGTTACTTGTGCCTCAGGGTCGAATTAATTAGCGTGATTGGAAGATTGCGCCAAAAAACCTTTATTCTGACGGGAATCATTATCTAATCAAAGTCGGGTCATTAGATGAAAGGCTACTGAATTCATCAAGTTCAACGTGGTTGGGTTAATCAGCTCGCTAATTAATTCGGGATGGGATTCTGCCCAATTAACCAATGCCCAAGGACATGGAGAGTGATGAATTATGTAGTAATCGGTCGTTTTCCTGCCTAAAAACACTGATGAGATGGTCTACTCGAGCCAAATTTGTGAATCGTATCGTAAAGTAAATTTACAAATTAAGAAATTTTAGCCTAAAAAGTAGCGTCCTGATAATAATGTTTTGGCAAATTAGGCACATTAAGACATTCGGGAGGCCAAATTCATGAGTTATTTAAATCGTGATGCAAATTCGTAAATTGAGAAATTTTGCTTAGATAATCGCGATAAACATTGTCACAAATTGCTGAATGAAAGCTTACAGTTTTATGTAAACTTGCAAATTTTAGGGTAAAAATACCATGTCTCAATAAGAATCTCGTAACTTTTTTGCCAAATTTGTTATTTCAACACATTCCAAATCTGTACATAAATCCTATTCTTACATAAATTTCTAAATTGAAAATTTCCCATAATATTTATTAATAATTTTTCGTAAATTTCCGCCAAATTTGCCATATTACGAGTAACTAAACTCATATTATCAATTTTCCACCTGTTACACACACCACCACCGAATGTCGTAGGACTGAATTAAATATCAATTCCAGTCCTGCAGGGGGCGATAAAACGTTAATCTTTTTTGCATTTTTTCCCTCCTGCATGGTCAAGTTCGTCCGTTCAAACAAGTAAGCGAAATGACTTTCTGGTCGTAAAAATAATCATTACTTGAGCCGAGCCAGGAATCAAATGAATGTCTGTTTTACGACGAATGCGCCTGTCCCACCCTTATTTATGTGTAACCTCGCGCATATTTGGGACATATTTCCACCACTCTTCAACTCGTCAATACGTCAATAAATTAACCCTTTCATGTCATCCAAACCTTCTCATAATTAGAGCGCATTTACAGCAAATCTCTACCCGTAGAAAAATTCACTAGTAGAAAATCGCGATATTTTTCTACCTAAGAGAATTTTGCACACTTTTTCTGCCCAAACTTGAAGTGCAGGATATTTTTCTGCAGATTCAGGTCCTGCAGAAGAGACTGTAGAATTTTGCACAATTTTTCTACCTAAATATCCTACAGAGTGTAATAAATGTGCAAAATACTTTTGGGAGGGATGAAGAATTATGCAGAAATTTTCTGCCAAGTTCTGGAAGATCCTGTACAAAAATGGACCCATTTTCATAACACATCGATTATTTACATGCACAAAACTCTTTGTAATTATGCCCACATTTGAACAATGCATCCTCTAATGAGCCAAGTTTACCCATAATCAGCCTAGATTTTCATCAAAGAAAGCTAATTATTACGCTGCCAGGTGCGAAATGAAATTCTAACTCTTACATACACACATACTTTTTATTTATTTTCCTAAATAGGAATCGAATCCTCCCAAAAAAACCATTGTTCCAAGAACTAGGAATTATCCGATTTATGCATTCCTTCCTTTCTCTGACGAGTACAAGCTATGCGGCAAAACCGCTGAAAATTTCTATTTTTTCATACCAAATATGAGTTATGGATTTTAATTTTAGAAATCGCGCCATATCTTAAAAACCAAGGCTTATTTCGAAAAAGTCAATCAGTCGAGGGCACTAGCCGGGACCTTCCCCAATACGATCCCGTTTAGTTTAGGTTACCAAAATGTATCGTCTAGGCTGTAGCTCAGTGGAGAAATTGGTAGCCGAAATTGCAAAATTTTTCGGAAATTTGAACTTACCGCCTGTACCTAGCATTATTTCGAAAAAATTTTCGAGTAAATATTATAGATAATGCGGTTATGAACATATTTGCTATTACATACAACTTTGTGTTATGCACCCAATTCATTCAGCGAAACATTTATGATTTCGAAACCGAAAAATCGGTTTTTATTGAATTTCTTGAAAATGGTTCAAGATACCATGAATTAGAAAAAAGTCATTTTAAAACTTTTCGAGAGGCATCTAATGCACTTTACGGCATCTCTTTACGCCCAACCGTTTTTTTGTACGAGCCCCCGACATTTCCCATAAGAGTGCCTGACAACATACTATATGTTCCACATATAGCGCCAAATGTCTCAGGTTGCCCCGACATTTGAGCTTATGGTGGAAAAAATAGAAAAACTATAGGAAACGCCTACTCCTTGTT